AGATGAGGGAAAGAAAAATTGGTATTTATCGGATAAATCTTAGAAAGGTCGTTAGATGTAAGGGAGCATAGGGCTTACCATATACACAACCAACCAACCATCCGACCCTTCGTGATTTCAGTTTCTCGAACGGTTTACGTAGCCCTATCATCGTTTCGTATTATCGTCTCGTATCCTTTGAAGATATCCTCCGGCATACCTAGATCGATTGTCATGGTGGTATCTCGCAGGGATTAGGTCAGGGACCAGCAGAGAAACAGGTTAGAACCTCGTCAAATCGGATGGGAGAGGTAGAACCATCCAAGTGATGAAATGATTGGCTGCTTGATGAAACATGATAGAGTTGCCAGGCTGCTGCCCTATGGATTATTCTCACACGAGTCACGCCATCATGCAACTTGCTATCTCTCTTGCACATTTCCGCTTTCAAATATTTTTCATTGTCTTCTCTATCTCTCTATATACTTTTATTTGTGATTTTATTTGTGATTTTATTTTTATTTCCTTTCATATATATATATTTTTTCTCATCAAGAAAGTTCTTGAACGGAAACTTTTAAGATGACCCTATCTTCTTCATCTTCTTTTTCTCCTATTACAGCTTGTTAAGTAATTTCTATTGTATTCATGAATTGAGCTCAAAATTGATACAATGTTTTTTTAACGAATCTATTTAATCTAATAATAATGCATTATCAATGTTTATAATTTATACATTTCTTCAGTTTAATCAATAAACTCGTAGATTTACGATTAAACAATTTATGCATCACTGATATAATTTCGTTTAATAATTATTACCATGAAACATTTTAGGGTATCGTAAAAACGTGTATTACATTATATTATCCCATTTTGTTTATTTTCTTTCGTATAATCATATCTAAATCGATTTTTCTGCGTAAAACAAAACAAAACGAAAAAGAATTAAGGGGGACTTATAAAATAGTCGTTTATATAACGTAACGTTTACCATGAAAAATCCTCTTTGTGAGAAACGAAGATCGAAGGTGGAAAGGAAGCAACAAATTGCTTCTCGTCGAGAACTCGTTAGCCCCAACTCCCCCTTACCCCCTTTACCCCCTTTACCTCCTCCGTTCAATCCTCAGCCTCCTCCCCCCAACACTCATGCCCACCCACCCCGCGACTTTTCACGACGAGCAGCCGGTCTCGAGAGAAATGACACTCTTATCTGAGTAATGGACCACCATAAACAATCCGACGAGAATCGGTGGTGCACGATAAAGGACCCCCACCAACTACTTCGGATAACTCGAGCTACTATTCTCGTGTTCCTTTTGCCTTGTCGACGACGGCCATTGCAACGTGAGATAAAGACTGTATAATATATTTCTGGCCAGTTTTTATTTCGAATCTAATCCGAATTTTTTCTCCATTCGAAAGATTCTCACAATCGGATCTTTATCTTTATCTTGATTCTTATTTAAACTTAATGGTGTTACACCACCTTGAGGTTAATAAATCGTTTAATACTTTTAATTATATTTTAAATGATTCATTATTTTAACATTCAAATGAATATAATATTTTTAAAATATGTCTGTACGATAGAAAATGTTAGAGAATGCAATGCTGTAAATTGTGCATCTTTGCAATTTCTTTGAAAAGTTTTGCTAAATATTTTTTATACTAAAAGTTAATAGATTTTAATAAAACTTGTATTAAATTAAAGTACATTCTTTTGTCTACGCGTATAATACCATATCGAGTTATAAATTTAGCATGTACAGTTCAGAAAATGTCAGAGAATGCAATGCGGCAAATTGTGCAACTTTGCCGTTTCTTTAAAAAATTTCGGTAAATATTTTTTGTATTAAAAATGAATAGATTTTTATGATTTTTATATTAAATTAAAGTGCACTCTTTTGTCTACGCGTAGAATATCATATCGAGTTATAAATTTAGCATGTAATGCTCAGAAAATGTCAGAGAATGCAATGGTGTAAATTGTGCATCTTTGCAATTTCTTTGAAAAGTTTCGGCAAATATTTTTTATACTTTTTGC